GAAGTCTATGAGTTAATCTGTATAGAAAACAATGCTACATACAAATCGATCTACTTATCAAGGGCCTTATCAGGGAACTGTCTACAATAAAACAATACTAATGCAATTAACCATTGTTTTCATTGAGAATTTACCATCCGAAGTGGACTGTTATTATGAGCATTCATTGGCTTCATCGATGCCTATAACTGATTTCGCTATCTGGTACTGCACTTGTACATTATATTTTAGAGGTGGTTTGATTTATTTTTCGCAGCCTAGTTTCATTGCTAGGGGGACCTAGATGAATACACATTATCCGAAGTAATCTGCTTTATTATTTATGCTTATTTCCAACGTTGGACTGTGGACTTTATACATTCTCATGCGTTTCGCCGGTATCGCCAATGAGTCTTTCCAGTCTTGGAACCAAGCTACAACTCGTCAGTGACAATTTAAAGCGAAAAACAATAAGATTAATCTGGAATATGTGCATGATTGGAATGAAAAGCACAGTATTAAGCTGTTCCATAGTGGTGGTTACTTGATTCAACTTGGCTCCAGCTACGATATGTGTTTTTCTCAGCGCTTCTTATCACGTTTTGCCACAAGCCTTTGGTAGCGCGTAGATTGGGGTCTTACAGAGCATAGCAGCTAGGCTCCAACTCACAGAGTTGAAGATATCGTCTTAGCAATGAGTCATCTTAACACTGCTCATTATATCAATTCAGCACGTTCTGAATTACTTTTATGGTTAGGTGTTATCTACACGAGCCATTTCTTTGATTCAACTCGTGTACTCTAAGCAAACCGGGAATCTCTCTGGTCTCCGTTGCATCTCTAGTCGAATTGAGATGCTCCTCACTACTATCATTTATACATGATCCTTTGATTTTATCTTATTTTTTTGCCTACATCGGCATCCTTATTCAGGTTGTCGGCGATGAAGCTCTTCCGGTTCAGCATACTATCGAGGTCTCTTCCGAGACTATCACTGGGGGTACGATGTGGCAAATGCCTTCTATGGAGATGGCTGGTCAATGGGATTCATTGGTCTTCGATTCCAATGTGAAATTAGACCTCCTCAATTACGCCCAATCCGCCCTTTTATTTGCTGACAAAAATGTGAACAATTCCTAATAGTTATAATAATGTCTATTAATTTGCACTTTCCTTTACATTCATCAGGCTAGTTGATGCTTCCATGGAGCTTTGGTTGGGGGCAAGATCAAATCTCCGTGGGTGGACGATCAACACATTTCTATGACATTAATTGTCAAACGATTTCTTTTCACTTTATGCTGTAATTACTTGCTAATTATGACATCTCATCTCTTTAAGAATAACCAATTGAGCCCACATTTTCGAGAAATAGTGTAGGAGGAAGCAACTTGAAAGTTGCTACAATCAGAAGACTACTTCAGATTTCTCTTGGTCAGCTATCGTTTGACTTTAACGGAACTTTCTAGCTGACATATTCTTGGGGAAATCTCCCTGAGTCTTGGTGCTAATGTGACAAGCTATCATTCTTACAACTAATTTTAGCCAACAATTTAACATAGCTCATTGGCTTATCCCTAGCACTGTAATTATGACAGATAGTAGCTCCTGTCCTTCGTAGTTATGCTCCTAAACTGTTACTCATCATTAACTAAAAACTTTCGCTGATCAAACAAACTTATGCTTAAATCCATATAAACTCAATTATCGCTATTAGTACGAATAAGAGGTGGCCTCCAACCATTACCTGAACTATCAGAAAATCTTTTTTATAGCAATGAGTGAAAGTAAACAATAAGAGAACATATGAAGATCAAGATGTTGTGGCCTCCGGTATGGTCTCAGTCCCCTTTCGATATATAGAAGTGGGTTGACCTCGTCGCAACTTGGTCTTGTTGTCAGAGAGACTTAAGAACGCACCTAGTCCGAAGTCGTCTGCCATAGTAGTTGTCATGATTCCCAGCATCAGACAGTGGACTTGCTACATTCTCAAACGTTTCGCCGGCATCATAGTCCACATCACCAGTGAGTTAAGCCATTATCCGTACCAAGCTACGAACTCGTCAAAGCGACAAGTGAAGTCAATCCATTGACAAACGATCTGCCGAAGACGGTTACACTATCACTCCTCTTACTTTCCTGGCCTATCTATCTGCTCTTTACCCTCTTATCCTACTGCTGCTTGGTAAACAAGCGAGTAGTTGCAGCCGTTTGGCTTTTATACGATGTTTACGTTGACGCAGTTCACGAGACTTCCTTACTCGTTTCGGGTGAAAATGGGCTAAGCTTTCGTCCATCATCAGAGCTGGGTGTCATTCCTGTAAAAGTCTCATGTTAACACGTTTTGCTTCTTGCCCTAGTGTTAACGTGAGACTTACAGGAATGGCACCCAGCTCTGATGATGGACGAAAGCTCAGCCCGTTTTAATCCGAAATGATGGAAGAAGTCTCGTGAACTGCGTCAACGTGAACATCGTGTAAAAGCCAAACAGCTGCAGTACAACGGGATTCATCCGTCCTCATCTGGTGAGATCGACCGATGAATCTTTTCTTTATTTACTTTCATACGAAATTAAAGTCCCCTCAATAATGTAATCTCAGAAGATTCATCGAAGCCCAGTTTCTCTTCATCTATTTAATTTCTTTTGTGTTTGATTGTTTGGGGGTAATTTCCTAAGCGGATCTATTGCTCGTCAGTTTCCGCTTATCGTAACTCCAAATAGTCAGCCACTAAGAAACATTGTGAATCCCAAGCAATGCTCGTCATTATCTTTATTGTTTAATTATTAAACTCCTCGGTTGTGAAGATGTATATTTCAATACCATTCACTTGTATCGGTGCTGAAAAATTAAGCGCCTTCTGAGTCAAATTTACATGGTAGCCTATCTTTGAGTGCTAGAATATAGACTGGTTTTGATCTCGGTCTTCTTAGACCGATCTGTTGGACAAATCTTCCTTGATGTAAAATGATTCACCACATTTGTTAGTTTTTTGGTCACTTGAAAATATTTCGGCTATAAATCATGTTTTTTGTTTAATGGTATTTTTTCGGACTGCTTATTACTCTAGGTCGATTCATCTGTTATCTCCTGGAATCGCATTGTTCTTCTCCATGGCCCTCCTGGCACCGGAAAGACATCGCTCTGCCGAGGACTGGCGGACAAACTAGCAATTCGGCTTTCGCATCGATTCAAGGCCAGTTTCTTCATTGAGATCAATACTGTTAATCTTATGTCAAAGTGGTTCTCTGAAAGCGCCCAACTCGTCTCTCAAATGTTTGATAGTCTTGCCGAGCACCTAGAGGCTAAGGATCATCTTATCTGCCTCTTAGTTGATGAAGTCGAGAGTCTAACTGCTGTGCGCCGTTCTTCGGCGTGTGAGCCAAGTGACGCAATTCGCGTCGTCAATGCCGTTTTGACTCATATTGACCAGGTAAGGAAGATTCTTTCGATTTTAAATAAATTTGAAGAAGGTTTTGCTCCATAAGATAATTAAACTTTCCTGATTTTAATCGGGACCCCACTGATGCTAAAAAGGATTAATAAAACCTAGTATCGTCAACTCTTCTATATTCTATTCCATGCGACGGACATCGTCAGAGCAGGACATCATACTTTACAATAGTTCATCAAAACACGAATATAAGACTTCACTTTTCAGCAAAAATGTGTAAAAAGCATAAGGTAATCAACCAAATTATGAGATGCATCATTAAGTGGACAAGGATAGGCCATATGAAGTATGTAGGATTGCAGCCTGTCTGGATTAACGTAAACCATAGTGTCCTGCTAACCTCAGTTCCCCAATCTCAAAAATGTCTCTAAGTCTGTTTTTCTACCTTTCTATGAGCGTATTTGCAGCCTATTTAGTATCGACTAATATTTTCTGTCTACGACCCGAGTAAGCTTTGAATTTGAGCTCAGACACGGTAAGTCGCTTAGGCTGATTCAAGGACTGATAGTTGAATTTTCATCACAATGAGATGTTTCAGTATACTATTGAATTTCACTTGGCTTTGCTTCGCAAAAACTTAGCTCATCCAAGTTGGACTACAGTTTCGACCTTGCCTAGGTCTTATAAACAAACCCAACAAGATTCATTTCTTTGCCTCAACTCATGTCCACGGGTGCCATTTGTTCACAGGGTAGACACAACATTCATTCATAACTCATATTTTCAAGTGAGATTGTCGAGCAAACAAGCGTGTTTGTCATTGTACATTCCCATACCTTTCGCCGCAATCATAGTCTGCATCGTCAGTGAACCTAATCGCCCTTAGCACCACACTACCACTCGTCAAAGATACAAGTGAAGTCGATCCCTCGACCAATTGTCTGCTGAACATTTGTGGTATCCTTCTCTCTGTCCTAGTGTATTCACTGTATCCTTTTATCACCCTTTTATTATCACAATTTCTCGCTTATTTAAGCCTAGTTCAGGCGTGCACTTTTGAGCGGATTTAGTGAGGCCTATTCACACTATTTTGGTCTCCTAATCCCTCCACTGTGCTA